TTATTTAATAAAGGTTCTTCCACCCTGTTTCATTTCGTGCGATCTGTGGCCCCCTCCGTATTGGAGTGTTATCTTCCTTCGTGACTTATCAAATGGGCCGTGATTCACGAGACTAACTAGGTTTCTCTGTATATCATCTCGTATGTAGGAAGTTTCTGGCTGAAGAATTCTGTTTAGTCCCTGTTCCTCTTATCCCCGAACCAGGAGCACTCTGAAAAAAATTGATTGACGATGATAAATAAAGGTAGAATAGAAATGCTTTTCACAATGACAGTCTATGGAAGGAAATATTCATGAAGTCCAGCTGACTAGTGATGTGCAACAATCTGGTAAAACGTTAGTGACATGCTCACATCCAAGGAAGGATCACAGAGCGAACTCGAGAAAAAAGCAGAAATCGAAACTACAAGAGCATCAGACCAAAGAAATCTGAGTCTTCAATAACTAGACAATCACTAGATCCGATTTCGCAGTCAGATGATTTATGAACTGAACCAAATGCAACTCACTGAGGAGCTGACTTATGTAACAGTAACTAACGCCCGTTTTCATGTATAATCAAAATTCTACTCGAAGTCTTCATTCCAATTCTATTGGTGCTCATGACCAACTCTATTTCTCAGTAAAGGACATAGCTCTTCTTGAAACTGCGCGATAAAGAAAGCCCCACGATTTAGGCCGAAAAGAGCCAGCACTTTTTTTTTTCATGACCAGTTAATGAGATACCTGTTGTGGCCTTCGAAAACCACTGTCGTTCATCCTGGGTTTCTGAGTAATGACTTTTGTGACTTCTTCTTGAGCTTTACATAAATCAAATAAATTAAAGGTCAAATTTGAATCACAACATTTTAGGGAGTAAGATGAGAACGCTAAATCACAGCCCTGATATTGTGACATTTTATTTCAATTTTTCAAGTTATTGATTTGCACCCGTTTAAATCTTCCTGATCTCAATTTAACACTATTCCTTCTACGTTTTTTCCTTCTCCTCTGTAGTATTTTTTTGTATTTTACGACCACCTACCATTCTTATACTTCATAAATTATATCTAACCATTTATATTTTGTTGTTTTTGTTGTTTACACGTTGATATGTTCTGGACTACTTCATGCAAGATGAGCATAGTTTTTTTTTAGGGATAAACAACGCGAAATATCATGATATGCCTCCTTTACGGTCAAGGAAGAGGTCTTTAGTAGTGTTAACATCACTGGTAGAGTTGCTGGGACAGTCTAACAGAGGAAACAGGCGCTATGTGAAACCTTGACTAGAACGCAGAGATGTCATCAACCAAACTTTCTAGTAAAAGGTAGGCAATTTAGTATTATCGACTGAGTTGATAACGTCAATTGGCCACCGTAAAGAGTTTCAAAGCGGACGTTTCGAGCGTTAGCCCTTCGTCAGAACGTATGACGTTAGCCTTTCACCCTGACGACGGGCTAAAGCTCGAAACGTCAGCTTTGAAACTCTTTACGGTGGCCAATTCACGTTATCAACTCAGTTGATAATACTAAATTACTCTGTGGTGCTCTCCCACCGACGCAGCCCCACAGTTTCTCTAGAAACTTACCCCCTTTATTTCTAATCAAAGCGAAACGACTTGTAGCACACAGAAGTACATAAAGGCACGAAGTGAATAGTTCTGATACCTTTAAGCCTTTCATTTAATCGATCCAAAGACTGCAACAACCTTTGTTCCTCCAATGAAAGAGCACTAGGACCTACATAAAACACGAAGGAAAAAAGCGCAAAATTACAGCTATTGAATATCATAGAAATGTCAATTCTTCAGTTTTGAAAGAGCATGACAGCTATTAACACCAATTAGCATTTTTACAGTACAGAGCCATTTCGAGAGTTGGTCAGAGCCA